CTCGCCTAAAATCTCCGTAGTGTTTGCAACATTTCTACAATGCCTCTGTTCACACGCCGTCCCCACAAAGCCAGTTTGGCTTTAAATACATCTACTTTGTCTGCCAACTGAAGGGATAGATTGAGTTCATTGAGCAAGGTGAATATGTCACACAGGTACGCCAGTTTTGCAACCCATATTTTGTCATTGAAATGTGCTGCTAGCGGTGACTGCCTGTCTGAGCGGAATCTTTGCAATTGCTCTGGTAATCCAAATACACTGATTAGCCAGTTTTCTCTGGATAACAATCTAATTTCTGTGCACCATAGAAGAAATCTGTGCTCTGCGTCCATCTCCTCACAAAGTTTCTCGAACTGGCGTGTTTAGGATGTGTGCTTTGTTGTGGTTAATAACTTCAACACCATCAATTAATACGTTGTTAAATGCCAGTGCCATTTTTCGATCTGCGAGTTTTTCCTATGAATGATACAATGCGTACATTTACTCTCAGGTGCAACCTCCTCAATCCGAGCAATAAAATCAACCAGTCGGCTGGTCATGGCACTAGCTTCGGCTGCACAGATACTGACACAAAAGTACCATTTTGATTGTCCAGATATTTAACCATCCAGTGGGTTGAGCAGTTCTGCTACTGGGGTGTCGGTTCGCAAAGATAGTACCCATAACAAATCCTCATGCTCCTTACTGATAGAGATCTCCTTTGTGTATGTGTGTGTGTGTGTGTGAAATTTTGCTACAACCTCGGCAAAACATTTACAGAGAGATTTCAATTGCTTAAACAAGCATACCGGGTGGACTGTAAGAGTCGCAGACAGCGCTATAAGTTGTTTAAGTGTTTTGAACACGGCAGCTTTTCCTGCGACATTCCACATCAGCAGACGATGACCGTCTCGAGAGAGTTCGTCATATAATCCGATCTTAAACTGTTGGAGAAGTTGCTGACAAAGGGAGCATCAGCGTAGGATCATGCCATCAAATTTTGAGTGACAAACTTGAGATGAGTTGTGTCAGTATAAGATTTGTGAACCGTTTGTTGACTAACGATCAGAAACAGAACCGTGTTGAAATCAGCCAGGAACTGTTTCAACCTTAATTAGTTTCATCAGGTGGCGATAGCAGACCTCGAACCAGGGACCATTGGAACGGCAAGTAAAACCTCTACCCCTTTGGTTGCCGGATCACAGGGAGCCACTCTAGTCACGATGGTTAATGACTGTTTTGGGGGTCCTTTGAACTTCTCCGCATGTGAATAGATTGCGACGCTAAGCCAAGCCAATTCACTTCGCCTGAAGAAGCTTTTAAGTCAAATCGAAACGTTGTTTATCATCATAAGTATATTAACTGGTCATCTACCATGCCTTCTGAAATGATGACTTCCCGATCGGTTCCAAATGTGTTCCAAATTATCCAGCCAGAAACTGTTTGTCACTGCGGGACAATAAAAACTTCCTCATAGCAGACGATGAGACGTAGGTTTTTTGGCTAAGATACTGAAACTATCTAGTCATCGCAGTGATTGGGGAAAAGGTGTCCTCTTCCAAAAAAGCACACGTTAGTCCGTCAAATATCAAGGTGATGTTTGCTGTTTTTTGACTGTAAAGGCATTGCTCATCAGGAATTGTACCACTTGGTCAGATGGTAAACAAGGGAGTCTACCGGGGAAGTCAAGCGCGTTTAAGGGATGCTGTGCACAAGAGGAGGCCTGAAAGGTGGAAAAACCAGACTTGCATATTGCGTCATAACAATGCGCCGACTGACGCATCGCTCCTTGGCCGCAGCTAGCTAGCAAAACATCACACTCACGTTGGGCTCCACCCACCGTACGCTCCGAACCTAGCCCATGTACATTTTTACCTGTTTCCCGAACTAAAAGCCACATTGAAAGAATGACGTCTCGCAACCACAGAGGAGATCCAGGACAATGCGACAAGAGATCTGCGCCCCATCCCAGAAAGTGCATCCCAGGAGGCTTCGTAAAAAACGGAAGCACCGTGGGGAAAGGCATATTATTGTTAGAAGGGGGGATACTTTAAGGGGGAAAGTGTCTACTGGGTTTTTGCGAGTAGCCATAAAGGTGTTATAGCAAAACTACCGTTTCTTTTTGAACACACCTAAAACGTGGGTAGGCATGTACATGGGAGCCACGTTTAATTTAGTACAGGTTACAGACTTTCACGTCGCATCCAACTAGTGCCAGTAATCGAAGCGGTGTTTATCGACTGGTACGGGGTTCAGCAACCGCATCGAGCGTAGCCAGAGTTGAGATATTACTCGGCAACTCACGCCACTACTGTGACAGCACTCACCCGCAGATACATGTGCCGACCAAGTGCAGTGAGGATGCAGTACACGTGCCAAATCTTCCACATTGTTGGGCTGAGTTATTGCATGAAGGCGGAAGCAGCGTACTCGCTCTGACTGACACTTATCCATACAAAAGCGCAGGAACTAGCAATTTTCAGCGGAATGATCTGAATCCGGTATAGTTCGGATAGTCTTTTCAGCTGCTCACTTACTGTGGACGAAAACTCCAAACGGTTGGGAGGGACACATCCATACCGGAACTCGTTGATTAGTTGTGCCACCGAAGCTGTCGCGACTAACCAAGGCAAGACGAAGTTGGCCGCGAACTCCAGCCGCGTGCATAGTTTAGTCTGAATGGTTGAAACCTTAGTAAAACGGGGTTATTTGGGATTGTTCTGTTTATTGATGACCTTGGACACTCTGCCAGTGGTTTGGCACACCGAGCAGTTGTGTAAGTGTCTGGCAGTAGAGAAAGTAGGCAATATTACATTGCTCAGAGCAAACTTCAACGGAATGGGCTCCGAAATCCGGGTAGACAAATGCCTCTTTGTCCGTCCGTGGTACATACTATCGCAAATACATTCAAACTGGGAAACACAAAAAACGGTGAGTTTAGACTGGGTCCTGTCTAGCTCGGACTCGTGCAGCAACTTTTGCTCTAACGGATCAACACAAGCTCAGTTGCGTAAAAGCGCCTTCTTATACCATGGCGTAAGCGATAGCTGAATCAGCTAGCATTTTGTTCCCAATCATTGGACAGCGTGACAATTACCTTCATCTTTTAAGCTTCCGTCCATTATTCTTGAGGCATGTTTTCATTGAGGCTTGTGCCATCCGGTGTTTGAAGCCTAACATATGCAGGCAGACTGAGTTTGCAGCACGCCTTGCGTTGCTCTGATGGGGTGAGACACCTACATTGGCATAAATAAGCATTGCTTTCTAGAGTTTATCAGCTTCTACTAACCGTGAGGTTTCGTTCATAGTACGTAAACGGATGAAGGGAATGTACGTAAACTATTAAACGGCTTACTACGCTGAAATGTTACTTGTGCTTGCTCCAATGGAACTCCTGTAAGGAGATGCTTGTCTGCAAGTTTAACTAACTTGCCCACCCAGCTTCACGTCATCTCTTCGACAGCTAACTTGATGACTTGCTAGATCTCTTTTGATGTCTTACCGGTGCAGTTACGTGGATTAGAAGCGAGAATGCTTAACGATGCCGTAATGTGCGCCTTGCAACAGAGGTCAATTGTGGACAATGCTACCGTCTTCTTCTAGACACCAAAGGCAGCACCTGTGAGACACTGATTTGCATCTGTCACCAAGATGTGAAACTCTGCATACGAAACGGTGCTTGGGTTCCCCACTACTCACTGAACCGTCAACCTGTGTTACTTGGTCGCTTACTTGGCGCAAAAGGCAGGCACGTTTCTAACCTAACGAATCCCTCCTTTAATAGAGGACACTAAACTACACTTTTAGATCTATACCCCAGTTTGTAGAATTTGTACAGCTGCTTCCCTTGCTAGAACATTATAGGAAGAAACACTGGCAGACTGGACTAACAAAATGCCTCCTTTGTTTGACCCAACCAAAACCAGCAACTCATCACACTCATCCAACCTTAGCACTCAATGAGTTTTCTTCCATTAAAGCCGCTTCCCAACACCCATTATCCATCTACTTCATCAGTGCCGATCCCAGTGATCCAATTGTCCGAGGTTCACTTCAGTGTGAATCGTGGTCCACATTGCAATTGCGCGCCGCAATCCATTCGCATGAAGAATAGTACAAAAGGACCCTCCAGTCAGTCAATAACCGTTGTGACAAGCTCCGGTAGCCAAAGTCATACGGCTGCCATTCCAATGGTCCCGCGGTCGAGACCTGCTATTTTCACCTGATGAAATTACTTGAGGTCGAAACGCTTCGGGTTGTGAGGTGTTGTCGAGAGAGTGACACCCGACTTACGTCTGATTCGGTTACGGTCCCGCTTCCGCGGGAATCGCGGTCCATAATGAGATTGCGCCTCGCAATCCATGCACACAACGACGGCTTAAAATGATCCATCTAATCTCCCTACCACTTTTCCACTGAGTTATCACCTGCTCACGCATTTATATAAACTGGCCCAAACAGGATCATAATGTCCCCGATCTCTGGTTGGTGGTCCCTCCCCTTTCATATGACTGTTAACGCTTTGAAGGGACATTCGCATACTTTAGTTTTACTTCGCATCTCCGCTGAACATATTAACAAATAAACTGGGACGCAGGCAGGCAGATCGACAGACAAACCGACAAATAGATAGCTAGACAAACAGATAGGAAGGCAGGGAGGTAGACAGGCAGGTATGCTGGCAGGTAAGCAAGCAAGCAAATAAATCACTAAATACGCAAATGTGAGCATATTTCCCGACAAGCGGGTTATATTTCCACCATGAGAAACGATTATTTGTACATGGAACTAGTTGTACCACACCCTCCACAGTTACTAAAGCTTTCATATTCTCCAATGGTTTGAAGGAATTTGCGTTCTACTGAGTTTACCTTCCTCTAGACCAGCTGATGTTAAGGAGAAACCAAATTCTGCTGCGCAAATTCAGACTGCCAGTGCAAATATTCGCATGGTCTGTGTGCAAGACTATTGACAATTGGTATGTATTTTTATCTAAGCTGTTCACTTCTTTGTATTTGTTCAGGCTGCTTCGCCGGATGAAAAAGCCCTTGTGGAAGGCGCAGCCAGGCTGGGTGTCGTTTACGCTGGATGTCAACCTGTAGATGCGCAGCCGTCCACGCTACTCTACACAGTTGAACACTGGATGACTGACCCTGATTCAAACCCAATCGATCTAATGGAAGTGCGGCACTATTTTGTGGATGCCATTCTGGAGTTCACATCTACGCGGAAACGAATGTCTGTGATGGTGCGTCATCCGGATGGGACATGTCACGTGCACAGTAAGGGCGCGGAGGTTAGCATGCTATCTGCGGAGGTGAGTGTCAGAACCCATGGAAATTTATACGTCGCAGTTCGAATCTGGTTGCCAGAGCTAACTCTAGCGGTGTAGCGCAAATTTTGAATATACTCGGAGTGGTAAGAATATTGTCTTCCGACATTGGCATGCTATTTGACTCCTGTATCTGACGGTATTAAGCAACTTAGTGTGAACACGGAGTAAGGGATAGCGTGAAGCTTTTCCTTTATTGTTTCTGTCAGTGTCAAAGTGCGTCCGCTGAGATATATGTGTTTTTATGTTTATCTGTCAAATATAGTTTTCCTCCCTATTGAACCAACCCTAGCCCCACATTTGCAGGCATCACAACATATATGGTTTATATGGCACACCGCAGTGGTATATGTCGCCGTCAGCTAACAGGACCACCTCTGAGGCAGCGCGGTTGGGCAATCTACTACCGAACGCATGGTGGCTTAGTTTAGAGGGCACAGCAGGATAGGAGAAAACATGTAAAGTGATTTTATTCTTGAATAGGAACGATAAAGCATTTGGTAGCTTCATGTTGTATAAATATAGGCAAGTATGGAGAAGTTGGTTAAATGCTTACCGGACAACCGTGTGAGGTAGAAATGTTAGTACGAATTGTTTACCTTCGTATTGCCTCCAAGTAGAGTGTTAACTGCGTTAAATCCCGTAATGAATGTGCTGACGGACTGGAGATGTTTCGGTGTTGCTCTTCCCAACAATAACATACAGACCGTTTGTCACAACTTGACAGCTGCATAGCTTCCGGGAATCCGAAGTGGCACTGAGAACTAGAGATATGCCAAAACCAGAAGCACCGCATTACGTAGTTAACTGTGGTTGTTAATGACAGAGTTTTGGGGTCACTCTACGGCCAATCATTCATGTATTGTAGATGGCCTTCAATACGTCTTGATAGCAGTTCGCTATTAAAGGTTGGATAGACAGGCAGAATGGACGTAGCACCACTAACCTGTTGTACTGTGGTACACTTGGAAAAAGCGCTATGGTGGAAGCGGTCAATTCAGAGACTAATGGATGAACCATTGACCACTTCCAAAGTCTAGCACAAATTACATACCCAGTGCCCATAGAAATAATACTAGCACAGAAAATTTAAAAACACCATGCAGGACCCAGGTATCTAACGGACGTTTGTCTCCCTAACAAACAACATTGCCGCATCCCCAGGGTTCATACATTACAACCGGTAATGGACCCATCGTATGTCGTTGTTTACCATCTGTAGTGTAAACAGCGACAACGCTGTCGCGTCTTTGTCACAGGTAATTGCTCGAGTTGTTCGATGTGCATTCGATAGTTTGCAAACGATTACTGAGTCGATTCATCTGGACATCCGGTCTAAATACCCAAAAGAAAGTTGAATATCTCTCTCTGATGCCTTTTCGGTCAACCTCTAACTGAAAAGATGAGGCTTTGCAAGCCGCCAGAGTTTGATTTCACAGGAAATATGCTGCAGTCTGGTCACCTAAGCAAAGTATTGTGGTTTTCACCTAAACCATCCTACAGGACTTGTTAAGATTTGTCTTCATTATCCATGATGGACTATTTTTCTGTTCCGCTGGATCCCCTGAGTAGTTATCGAAGGACCGTTACACCAGCCGCAATATTTGTGGGTAGAATTTCAGGCCCCTGAAATCCTGAGCGTCTCGATTGAACTCCTGATGTGGTACCTGATACCCTGCAATTTTTGTGCACCTGCGTCTGCGTTGGCTTCAATGTACCAGTCTACCAACTTGCCTTGATCGATTGTCGCATGCGTCATAAATCATCTCACGAACTGTCCACATCAATAGGAATTCCGCTTCTCCTATCCGGCTGAAATTATCTACACTTCATGAACAATGTCGAAGTCGACAGTGGCACAGTTTGTACCACCTCTGTCATCAACTCTATGCGACGCTCGAACCTAACATGTTTTTAACATTTGCACGATTAATACATGTTAACAAGGACTATGCAAACGGGAGTGAGCGCATACTGACTCTATTTCGAACCGACCTCTATCGTTATTGCACAGTGTACGAGTCGAATGTGCTCTCACCAAATGGGTACAGGTCAGATGGCGTTAGGTCCAAACAGTCTATTATTATTATTTTTGTGAAGGCTTTTTTTAGTCGGACGCAGTCAGATAACCACTAATACTCATAATGTGTATTCTCGGTTTTACGAGGCATGCTCTGTTCGGCATGCTCATATTGGTACAATTGTTTTGTATAGTTTAACAGCATATTCCAAATGTCACGCAAAAATAAAATACTTTGTTATCCGCCAGGGTTTTGCGGTTCAAAGCCTTGTTTGGGCACCGAATATATCATATCGTCCTGACGGAGATCTCCTTGTACGGACGGAACCGTGTTTTCATTTCCTTAGACAAAGGATGAGACGTAACTTTGCTGATAGGAAAAGATTACAGCTGAAATCAGACCATGTAAACAAAGCAACTGATGTAGGTACATCATTTGCTATACCTTGTGGCGTTGAGGTGAACATCATTGACACTTGTCAACTAGCACAGGTATTTTAATATAACTGTACGTTAGGCGTTCGCGAGTAATAGGAAAAATGCGAGAGAATTTTTTGTAATAGTGATGAAGCGGTTGGAAGCAGAATCGGTTAGATTCACCGTGACGCCCGACATCTTTATATGAGAGCAACATGGAAAGCAAAGACGAGTAAGAGAAGAATGACTGGTAAAAGCGAATGGAAATGGATAGATTCAGTCGGCGTTTCCTTATCAGGTCACAGTTTTTGGTATGGCTGCAAGGTAGGTGTAGCTGAATAAGCATGAATGAGCGGAGACAAAAATGGTCACTTCAATCTCAGTTCACAATTCCTCTGCAGTCCACACTTGTTGGTGTGTCTGTGAGTTATGCTTTCCCAAGTAAATAAGGAAAGTGTGTCGGGTGAAGAAGAGTGTAGGAAGTTCTGGCAATAATATACCTTTATTCCTCTTCACCTCTTCAGGAAGGCTTGGCCAAATGAATGCAATATACGTACCACCTTGCATGCATATTTGTTATCCAAGCACTCACGTCTCGGCCCTCATTTCAGATAACAATTTTTCGTTGCAATTTAGTTGCAACATTGTTTTTACGTATTGCACCATCAGGCACTTTGAAACCGCGCTTGTAAACAGCGTTTGTGTCGCACGCTCTTATTTCAATAGGGAGGCTGTTCCAAAGCTCAGTTTATCTGTTTAGAAAGAATTTTCTTCGGACATAAGTTTTCGTTTTGTACACCCGGAGTTTGTTCTTGGTATTTCTAATTAGGTTACTAGATTGTTTTTTGAAGTGACTATTGATAATTGGCTCGAAAAGGCGCTTATGGATCAAATCAAAGAGCTTCATACGTCTTAACCGCAGTGGCCCCAGTTGTAGCGTCTTACAAGTTTCAGAGTAGTTAGGTTTAGATGACGATTTAAGGGGAGTCTTTGTGAATGATCTCTGCACGTTTTCTAAGCACATGCGGTCACGTTTCCTGCTGCTTATAAAGAAAATCGAACAGTACTCTAGTCCAGGGCGAATGCAGGCCTTAAACAGTGCAGTTTAGGTTTACGCGTCGAAAATGATTTGAAGATAAGTTTTGCGCTTCTTCGTGACCTAGCCGTTATGTATTCAACTTGTTCACCAAAATTCAAAGTGCCTAGATCTCGTATAGTCTTATTGCAGGGAGTGGGTTTACCACCAAGTTAAATGGCATTCGGCGAAAGTTCGCACTTGTCAACTGAAAAAGACATTTGCCAGTCAGTGCACCAGGATTTCAAGGCCAGTAGGTCTATGCGAACGTTTTCAAGCGTGTCGCCCAAACATCGGATATCGAAGGTGTAAAGTATATTGATATCATCTGCGAAGATACAGAGTGTCCCTCATTTTATTTTTTCAGTTTTATCATTGAGATACATTGGGAAGAGCAAGGGACCTAACACACTAACTTGAATCACGCGACAGTTTATCTTCAATGGTGAAGACTTAGTATGTCCTGTGTATACCTGCTGCATAAGATCAGATGGGTAAAATTTGAACCATGGGTGCAAAGGATCAGTGATCCCGAAATCGGTTAACTTCACCAAGAGGTTCAAACTTGAATTTAGCGAACACGCTGTGTGGTTGCGTTGCGACACGCAACCTCTTTTGAGACCTCGGTTCACTCTAAGATAAACCTCGGTCATTCCGATCTCGAGGACCGTATCCTGAATGGATGTAATTGGGTGTTGCTCTTCCCAACCCTGGCACACCACGACCGCGGTTTCTTCTTGGTTTAGACTCCTCAGGTGGAGATAGCGTGAGCTGGGCTGGAACTCACAGCGTAATACTTCACGGCTGACGCCCTGAACACTATGCTACTGAGATCCGAGGAACGTTTGGCACAGCGGAAGGGAATTCAAAGTTGTGTGGAACTCTTTCGAATGCCTTGTGTATATCAATAAAGAGAATGATGGCTGCTTTTCCATTGTCAGTGGAGTTTGTACGACGGTCTAGCAACGATAGCTGACATGTCCGACATGAGCGAATTGGCAAAAACCCATGTTGAGCTGGGTTTATTAAACTCAATGACCTCAAATGCACAACAGTTTTCTCTATTTCACAGTTCTTACCAGTATTCTCGAAATAACCTGAGTGTGACTAATTGGACGGTAATTTTTTATGTCGTTTTGAACCATTCTTATATCTAGGTTCTATAACAGAGAGTTTCTATTGATTCGGGAATATACCCAAATTCATAGATGGGGTAAACATGTTTAGAAGCAAAAGCGATATTTTCCAGCCACAAACGTGTATTAGAGAAGTTGCTAGACCATCAGATCCAGGATAGAACGAAGACCGTAGCCGATCAATGTGAGCTTGAATGATGCCGTAATGGAAATGCACTGTGCTAAGTTTACCAACATCAGTAGGAGCGCTAATGGTATGTGTTTTGCTTGAGGTAGTAAACAAAGTGTAAAAGTGTTCTTTCCTGATGTTTCCTGTTATGTTCTTGTCCCCAGTCAT